GATTCGATTTCCCTGCGGCACTTACTGCAAAACAATGGAAATTATACCGTCATCTCTCTGGTATGCGGAGGAGAGAGTGGAGGAGACGAGACATCTCTTTTTGTTGTTGTTGTGTGGCTGCTTTTGCAGGTGAACAAATGTCTTTACTGCTCGCTCTTCTCTCTGTGTCTTTTCCCTTTCTGGCTCTTTCGCTGCTTTCAAGCTGTTTGCAAGTAAACAGAGCTTTGCACAGTTATACCCCTACCCCTCCCCAGCCCCTTCCAACCACTACCCACCCAACCACTGCATCATCGCACTCCACTCGACTTGTGTCAATATTGACGCAGACCTTATCTCTCGCTTTATGACATATTCCGCTTCTTTTTTTTTGTAATTTTATTATTTTTATTTGTTTTTTGTTTCCTTTCTTGTTTTGGCTACTGTCAGCGCGCGCCGCTCACTTTGGCATTTCTGGGCGGCTTTTGTTTGCATCCGCCCTCTCCCGTGGACGCAACACGCGGTAGGGACTGGCAGGGTATATCAGATGGGGGGGTAAGGCTATGGCGTAGAGGTATGCACATATGAAAATCTGCAACAGTTTTGGTCCTGCACTGCCTTGAATGTATCTTTTGTGCTGAGTATTTTAGTTTTTATTTGTGTGCTCTTTTGTGCATAGATACATACATATGTATGCATGTATCTATGTATGTATATATTAGAACATATACTAGTTTATGTATGCTAATATTTTACATGGTTGTGTGACTTACTTTTTCGTTGACAACAAATGAAAAGTAAAAAAAAACGCCACTGGAAAATCCCTCTGTTGGCTGAACTTTGCTTTATTTTTTTGGGTGTGCTTTGATGTCTATGCTTTTTAAATACAATGCTCACACCCTCCCCTCTACCTGTCCATTAGTTCTGTCTCGCTCTATCTGGGTTAGTGGGTAATGCAGTGGGTAAATCCGTCCTACTCTGAGGTGAATTTATGGCCCAAGAAGATGTCTTAATGACGTGGGAGAGTGTTGGGCGGGTGGTAGACACTCTACAAAGAGAGAGAGGGAAACCTACGAGAGCTGGGCACCCAAATCGATCGCATTGGCATTATAGACTCGTAGCCGTGTAAACCGCCCACAAGTCCAGCCATGAATGTACCCTATATACATATGTCTACCGACGGTATGATGACTGGGAAGATCATTTTGGTTGCTTGTATCATCGTAAGTGGAAGTATTTCTTATAAACAGAGAGATGAGGCATTTTCAAATTAAGTTTCCACTTAAAAATGCAATTTTTGTTATAGTCTCCATACATAAACAAAGAGCAGAAGAGTATTCCAGCTTCTTGTATTCTCATAACCTTTGGTGGGTTTTCCATCCCTCCATCCTCTATTTTTTGTTTTTTTTTTTTTGGGTGGCAACTTGATAAGTGGAACGCAAACTGAATCGGAAAAGTGAACGAGGGAATCTAAGCCCATAAATAAAGACAATTGGCCAGTTTCTCATGTGGCTCGGTTGTGGGTTATGGATGGGGTGCAAAGTCCGTAGACAGTTCTTGGAAGACGGGCGACAGTTCCATCACCAGCGGCGCACCAGGCTAGTAGGAGGTGTCGTGGCCTGACAGGTTCCCTGCCACATTGTAAGTGGCAAAGTGGCAATATGGTAGGCAAATCACGTGATCGACTCTGCGCTGACAGTTTTAGGTGTTGAACGAAACGAAACGAAAGAAAACGATTGATTGATAGAGGCGGAGGGAGGAATTCCAAATGAGTCACGTGAAGAGCAATCAAAGTCAAAGGATCTGATGGGTGGGCAGCATTCGTGAAAGTATTCAATTACGAATTAATCAAAGTGGAAGTAAGACCTGATGACCTCGGACTTCAACCTGATCGATCAGCCAACTCTGTGTGTGTTTCCGCCAGTGGCGATGATCGATTTGCCAGACAAATTGCGCTAAAGCTAACGAAACAACCGCAGAAAACGACATGGAAATGACAGGCCAGGGCAGGCCAGGCCAGGGCAGGCCAGACCAGGCTGGTGGAAACCCTAGAAGTGTACATGGAAATCATGAGCAATTCCTCACGATCATGTGCCCCTGCCACTGTACCTGTACCTGTCCTTCCTTGGTTGGAAGCTTGGTTTCGTATCGTATCGCATTTCAATGGCGCGACCACATTCCGCTCTGCGCTTTGCAAGGTTTCCAAAACATATAGATTTCCGTGATATACTCGCATACCATTCCATTCCTACACTTGGCATTGTTCCAATGGCACGCTCTCTCCGCCCCAGCAGCACCCGCTCTCTCAGCCAGCAGCACCCTTCTCTTGGCCAGCAGCTTTTTGATTTGATTTCTTTGTTGGTTTGTCTTGTGGTCAAATTACCTAAAACGGGCGCCTAATGTAATCCAATATTAACTCAATTAATTTTCAAGTTGAGACAAACATTTTGACATAATGGAGCACCCAAAATGAAGGGCGGTGGGGTGGGGAGGGGGCAACAGCAAAAGCAACATTTCCGCTGTCTCGTGGGTGGGAGGAAGTGCCGACAAAGCGTCGCGTCGCGTTGCATTGTATCGGCCACGTTCCAATCTTGTCAATAAATCTCAATATCAAAAAAAATAATATGCTAAATGACCACCCGTATGAATACGTACGAGCGGAGTATCTATGAGATATGTATGTATGTATATGTATAGGCAAAGACAATAGCAACAGCAAAAAATGCAAATAACTGCACGAAGTATCTATGAGATACGCGCGCATAAATTTACAAGCTATATGGCCTGGCTTGGCCTGGCTTGGCCCTGGGATAGGATAGGATTGGATAGCATGCCGCCTGCCACATGCGGGAGAGCGTTTGCATTGCCGCAAACAATGAACCGTGTTGACAGGTCTCCGTTTCCAAGTCTTTTGTATGATTGATTTAACCTGAATCGACTGACAGGTACGACAAGCAGCACAGCGGCAGCGACAGCGACAGAAACGAGTCCAGGCTATGGTATGGATATCCAAAAGATATGGCTCGCTCTTGTATGGAAATCCACAAAAGATACTCTCTTGCTTGCTGCTTATGCTAACGACAATCCAATGGATGTGGAATGGGAGGGCGGGGGGTCATTGTGTGGAGTGAAATTTAAAACGATCGACAAAGACAAAAGTTATATGGCATGTACATATGTGGCCTCAGAGTACTCACTCGTATCTATGTATGTATGTGTGGCATGAATATGCATTGCATAAGAATGTGTGTCGATGCTCGGTATTTAGATTAAAGCTCTACAGCAAGAGACAAAGAGAGAGTGGTTCTAATCCATCATTCAAGATTGAATTGTTGTAGTTTTACCGTTGCTTCTGCTCATTAAATTCAAGAAAATACAACAACAGATACGCATAATTATGGCAGAGACTGTGCCGCACTGTGTCTAAAAAGAAAGAGATCGGGGAATAGCAGGGGGAAACAACAAGAGACGGAGAAGAACATCTCAAGCGGGAGACAAGGCAGAGACGGCGACGCATGACAACCGCAACCGAATGTTGGATGGAATGAGCGAATGATTGACAGATGAATGATTTAATGAGCAACAAGATAAACGGATGCCACCACCAGTGTCGCTATCTCTTTCTATCTATATTCTTCTGCTCATCTCCCACTCTCTCTCTCTCTCTCTCTCTCGCTGTGAAGACCGTATCGAAATTAATTACTTATTTTTCATTTGAATTTAAATTTAAATTTAAATTGTATTTCCCCCCACCCTCTCTACCGCAATGTCTTTCTATTGTTACAGTTGTAATGCGGCGGTCCATAAAAGATGCTTATCTCTCCCGCTCTCTGTCTCTCTGCGCACTGACTCCCCTCACCGTTCACTGCCAAACAACGCTTCACGGTGTGTGGGGTTATTGGGTGGCGGGGGGGATGCGGTTTTGCGGCATTTTCTTGCGCTGTCATGACGACAACGATAGACGATGACGCTGCTGCCCCGATGCCCGATGATGACGACGACCACGCATTTTGTGTCAACTCTGGAGGGATCCTACTGCTCTCTCTCTCTCTCTCTCTTGAAATCTCTTGGGGCATCTTTCTTTCTGGCCATATCTGTTTGTGTGAATCGAATTGGTAAGCCAAAAACGTTGGAAATAGTGGCGGCTGGTGGGGGGGGCACATAAAGGAGTCTTTGGTGTACATTTTACATATATGCATGGCGTGTTTCTTCTCTTCTGCTCAGTTCGGTGTTTTTGGTGCGTAAATCCCAACACCAGCAATAAAATATTGGAAAAACTACAACTATAACTAAAAATTATGAGATAAACTAACACTGAATATTCCATAGCTCTACCATGCGTGAATACCATGCGTGAATAATTTATCTATAATTTATAATTTAATTTATCTATAATTTATATGCACCTTTTTTCGATAAAAATCTCTGTTAAGCCTTCGATAACCGACTATCAACTTTATATTGTTATTCTATATCGAATTATTGTTTTCTTCAGCATTTTATTAATAACATTTCTCTCTGGCTGTCGAATGAATACGGAGTGTACGCCTTCGTCTGATTTTAACTGGTGTTTAATTTTCCATTAAATATCTTTACACATAATTAAATTCGCCGCGCCATTTAAATACACATCTTCCCGGCGGGGAAAAGGTTGGCGCAACAATTGCATTCGAGGTTTTTCATTTCTTTATACATTTTCTCCCCCCTCCACCGTCTGACTGTTAATTTTTATGTCGTTTGCGTTTGCGTGAGAGATCTCTGGGGAGAGCGAAGAGAGCTGGCTAAGGGCCAGCCAGCCAGCCAGCCAACCCGCCAGCCACTTGTCGATGCTTAATGCCCACACAGCCCTCACACACTCACGCATTCATTCATTCATTCGTTGGTTCGTTCGCTCATTCGAATATAATTTATGTATCGGTGGAATAATGTTTTATGATCTTCACATGTGATTTGGAACTTGGCGGCTACCTGGGAACCTGTGGGAGACAGCTTTGGGTGCTGTCTGTGTGGGCTTTGAATTCGTTTTCACATTTTTCTCAATATATCGGCGGGGAAACTTCAAATTCTATTACGGAAATTAATTTCAAAACTTGTGCTGTCTCTTGGGGGCACACATACAAAATTGCAGAAAAAATGCCCAGAAGATGTTAACCAAAATTATACGTAAATATGGCAGCGTGTATCTGAAGCACGGGTGTCCTCCTCCTCCCTATTCCTATGGGGCGCCACACCGTCCACTGCACAATTGGGACCAACAGAATGCGGCGCACGAACAGCGTAAGAAGGCCATACCAAAGCTGGTGTATCTGCACAATCCGTGGAAGTATCTGATGACAAAATTCAATCTGTGGAAACTCAAGTGGCTGTGGGATCCGAAATTCTGTGAATCGGATTTCATCGAGGGGTCCAAGCAGGCGGCCGTCGTCATGACGGACATCATTCGGCAGCAGAGCTCCGAGAAGATCAGCGATTATACAACGCCGGTGGGCTTCCAGCAGATCACCCGCGACATGCTGCTCTCCCGCGACGACAGTCGGCTGCAGTTGGTCCGCTTCCAGAAGGAGCACCTGCGCCGTGCCATTCCCATGAAGGTGGCTCGACGCCAGAACTTTGGGCGGAAGTATGCCTTCATCGATATGCTGTTTGTGGGGCTGCGCAACACCAAGGACTTTGACTCCACCTCGGAGGTGGTGGAGGTGAACGAGATCATCCGGCGGATGGACAACGAGCTGAGGACTCCTCGCGAAGCGCTGTCCGTGCCGCATCGCATTGTCTTTGCCGAGATCTTCATACGATTTCGGCGGGACTACACCGCGGAGGCCAGGCACAGCCTAGAGGCAAAGCATCAGATGGCGCCACCGGGCTACCCCTTTACACATCAGTTCAATGCGCCATTCTCGCCCCAGGCAGCGCTCTCCAAAGCTCTCGATCCACAATCACAGATCACGCAACCACCAACAGCGGAAACGATGGCGACGAGATCCACCCAGAATCCGGCTACGGCACCGCTGCCCCAGACGGGCCGCATTCTGCCGCGCATGGACGATCCCGGCTGGTCGGTGTCCTTCTACAAGATCCTTACCTTCGATGTCCTCAACTACGATCCCGAGCGCAAGGCAAAACGCTAGCCAATTAAAACGGAATGTCACTTATTGTAAAGGGTTTCTCCCGGTGTAGCTTGAATAAAGCCCGTTGCTAAAAGCTAACAATTTTTTATTTATATATTTTGGCTTCTGGCTGCTGATTTTCACGCAAATTTTTGTTGTTGTTTGCTCCAACAGAAAATCAAATTGAGAGATGAGCCAGCGAATGCCATTCCGTTCCGACTTTGAGTGTGACATTTTCTGCACAATACTACAGATAATATTCAGTCCGAAAACTAAAACTTGCATATTTTTCTATAGCTACGAAGCACACTCTTTTTGGCCCTTTTCACACCTCTTTTTTTTGGGTGTGTGTTGGAGGTGTGTGGGAGTGTGCAATAGACACGGAAACTATTTGTATACAAACAAAATTATGTTGTAATGAGGCATATTACACGATTTGATCTTGTTGCCTGATGTGTGTGTGGCATCGTTGTTGTCGTTACATTTGTCATTTGGGTCTAATTGATTTTCAAAACATGCTCATATGAGGGCTTTCGGGCTTGGAGCTCAAGGGCTTGATGGGCTTGGGCTTGGCCTTGGCATGACCCAATCCATTTAAATATATTCAAAATGATTGGAAATACATTGAAGAAAATAACATGCCCAAATACGTAGACAAATGTGCATGTCATTTAATGTTTTTTCTTCGTGCCTAACACATTTTTGCATAATTCGAACATGTTAAATGGTTTTTAGATGTTGACTTTGATGGTGGTCTCCCTCACCTGACATCTCAGATTCGAATTGGAAATATTTGTTGTACAATTAAAATGTGGTAAGAGCTAGGAAATTATTCGACCAATTATGCTGATTTTTGTCTGTACGAGTGAAAGGCTTAGCTAGCTAGCACATGGAAAACATGCAAAATTCATGTTTATAAATATCCATTTGATGGAAAACATGAGCATTGATTGGATTTGAACAAAGAAAAGAAAAAAAAAAAAATAGATAAAAGAAAATAATAAATAAAAAAAAATATGCAAAATATTTTTAGCCATTTATTGGTCTTTGGGTGACAATTATTGATGTATCGATTAATAAGCGAAAGTGATTTGAAATATCAACTTATAAGTGCTTCGAATTACCATTATTATCGCGTATATTCAATCTGCGATTTTCTCTTGAAAGATATTACCAGAATATAGCCCCCCAAAGCATCGCATCTCTTTGCACCAATTAGTTTTATCCCGCACCCATTAGCAAGGTATTTGCTCAAGAACCAAATCCCAAAGAAAATAATCCCTGAAATTTACTTTACGCAGACAGGGCTGAGAGAAGCAGGAGCATAACAAGAGCCTGTCAAAAGTAAAGAAATAATTTAAATAAAGAAAACACAAAACAGCTGTTGCACTTCCGATCCAAAGATGGAAATATGCCATGCCCCCAATGCAGAGAGTGGTAGCGAGAGAGAGGGGATGACTAAGACTAACACTAAGGCCGTTACATGTACACAAGCGAAAAGGGATAATCTGATTATAATGAAACACAAGTTATGCAACACGCGCACGACCGACTGTCGCTGGATGGCGCCACTCAAGGCGTCACTCAACTGTCGCCCGCGCAGAGCTTAAGAGGAGCAACACACCACACCCCACCCGCTGCTCCCAACGAAAGAAAATGAAGGAAAAAAGTCCAGCTGAAGGATTATGAGAAGGGAAACCTAAGACACAGCTGGCAGTCCCACAGCTTCTTTCCTTTCGTATCCATTCCTATCCATTCCATTCCTTTGCGCGACTCCGACTTGGGCTCTGAGCTGACATGCAAAACACGGGCGGGGCAGCGGGCAAAAAAGAGAAATTATAAAAATTTATGTACGCTTTTTCCGTTCGGATGGGGAGCCTCCGCATGCCCCTAGACCCTGGGACCCTGGATTGGAGTCCCGGAATTCAATCTCAGCGGCAGACAGACTGCTGTGCTGGCTTCATCTGGACGTCGGGATTTGTTGTCCATTTCGAAAATGTCAGCTGGCAGTCTGTGGCACCAGCTCTTGGCCCATAAATAAAACTAGAGGGATGCGAGAGATATCAAGCTGCTGGACAAAAGCGTTAGTGTGAATGGCCGCCTTATTGTGATCCCTTTTGAGTACTGAATCTACTCTTACTGAAGGAAATTGAATGTATGGTACTTAGGCGAAATTAAATGGGTTTCCCCTCAACTTAAAATAAATCATAAATATTTTCCATGTATTTAATAATTTAACACATGAAACTTTAGTTTGATTATGCTGTTATTAATTATTATTAATAAATTACCAGTTGGTAAATGTAAGTTTTAATATAGCTAAAGACCAAAAATAAGAATGAAATAATCTTTGCACACTTTCGATTAAAACTGAAATCTTTAGACTGATCTTTATGAAAGAATCAAAAATCAAAAACCATGAAAATACTTTATACGTATATTTAATACGTGCTCCGCCTGTTCCTCCCTCAACCTTAGCCAAAAGAGGGTCAAAATTAATTAGACAATCCGTAAAAGCGGCTTAATGTCAGACTCATTTGCAAATATTTACAAAACACACAACAAATTGAAGGGATCCCGGGACTGATGATGATGAACCCTTTTTGTCGAACCCAAATCCGGATCGAAATTGGGATCCCGTCGCCGTCGTTCTGTGTAACAGGTGTACCCTCCAATCCACCATTTCTTATATGTACATGCCTCCGGTTTTTTTTTACGAAGCGCTTTTCTTTTAATTTTCCACCCGAAAAGATTAATTACAAGTCTGGCGTAATGAGAGGATTTCCGGTGCGCCGGATTTTCTAACCTTCAATCTCATGGGAAGGGGGGGACATACTCTCATTGTGGCGCCCGCCGCCACCCACACACACACACAGTAGCTCATATTTCTTGTGTTTAATAAAATTGAATGAAATTTATGAAATATTTGCGCGTTGTGCATAGAAATGCTCGTTCGTAATCGTAGGTGCCGTGCCCCAAGCTGCAGGCGGCAGACCTCCTCCAATCTCTGCTGCCAGCTCTAGACAATTACCTGCCCCCGACTCGTTGATCTTCATTAGTGGAGCCGCCGTGCCATCGTCGTCGTCGTCGCCGTCGCCGCCGGTAAATGTCTTCATAGACACATTCTCAGATTCGCCTCGGACTGCGGGCGGAATGGGGGAAATGGGGGGCCTCTGGACTCTGGGGCTCCGGCCAAAAGCTTTAAATTTATGGCAACGCATTTGCGGCGCGCGCTCTTACAGCCATAACATAACGCCACACGAAGCACAAAAAGCGGCAACAATAACAAAGTCTCGACTAATAAAGCGTCGGCGGCATGGCATGGCATCGCTTGGCCAGGTCTCTCACTCTCTCCGTCTCTGTCTCTCTGTCTGTGTGTCTGTCCGACAGTCTATATGTCTGTCCTTTATTAGTTCATTGCTTGGCATAGACTCCCCCTCAGGTCTCACTTTCCTGCTTAGTCCACTGCTCTCCTCTTAACGTATCCATTTACACTTGAATATTTATCGCTGCGCTTGGCCCCGCGGCTCAAAGACCTCCCTGGGCGCGGGACCCGATACACCCGAGAGACCCAATTTAAGTAGAGTTGTCCCATAATTCTCAACGCTAACAAGCCACAAATAAATGCGGCATTTAGCACAACATTTAAGAGGCCTGACATGTCGCATGGATCGTAGATCAGATCGGCTGGATCATTGTATGAATATTACACAAGAGTTGCAGTAGGAGTTGCAATTGCATTTCGTGTTGCAGTTGCATTTGGAGCTGCAGTTGCTGTGGGAGTGGCTCTGCGGCAAGTGGCACATAACTGGAGCGGAATCACGAATCAACAGCTAAGACCTGATCAAAGGAGATTGCCAGACCTAAATACCTGTGAAATATGTTTATATCGATATAAAATAAGTCTTAGGCGAGGGCTAGGGCTATTCAATCTATTAAATTTCATGAGGTTTAGTTTAATTTAAATTTATTGAACTGAAATCCCAGCTTAAGGATATAAAATGGATCAAATTTCACTGATTTATAGTATGTAATATTTTCCACTAATCCTCGTGCAATTTTTGTGTTTTTTAGGCTGGATGCATATCATAAATATCTGAAATATGATCCAAATATCATGCGCTAATTCATTAAAAATGCATGCTCTTGCAGGAATTAAACCCTACAGATTTGGTAAGTAAATACACTCAATTCCACTATTTAATATCGAATTCCTTAGTTTGCATCACGTTTGGTTGCTTTGCAGCACTAATTTCATGACGCCAGAGGCGGAGATAAGACAGACATACTGCAAAATAAACGAACGTAAATGTGTACATGCTCTCCTCTTGTATTTATGTATTCTACTTTTGTTTTCCGTCTTCCGTTTTGCACCTCTTTTCGGCTTACCTAACCTTTATTTCCTTTATTCCTTTTTTTCGCCATTCGATTTGCAGCTCTTATTCACACATTTACAATCTTCACTTTTGTGGTTCCGTTTTGCTTCTATTTCTTAGCTTTTTGCGCGTCTTGATACTATTGCCCTCTCGCTTATTCTCTCGCTCTCATAACGATGATCGTAGCAATACACACACGCACACATAAAATTCCAACGGCACGAAGTTAGTGCTTGAAAGACACAGAGAGAGAGAGACAGAGACAATTACAGTTATATTTTGCGTTGTTGAAATATTAAAGATCTGCTTCGCTTCTGCTTTCGCCAGTTACCATAAATTGCGCACTTGGCGCCAAATATTTATTACCATCGGTCTCTCCTGCCCCTCTCCCAGTTCCAGCTCATTCCCACACCCGTTGCTGTCAGTATTTAAGAAAATCTGCATAAATCGAAAATATTTCAACCAAAATAATAACTTTTTGTAAATTTAAAACACATTTCGCATGGGCCCCAAGGGTGTGTCAGGCGGCCCAAAATGCAGTTGGCGAAAATAAAGTTTAATTATTCAGTGAGAAATATGAAAAAAGGAAATGAATACTGCTGTGGGGCTTAAAGGTGGGGTAGGGCGGATATATTACCTTAGTTTGGGTAATACCGTTGTATTAATAAAAAAAAAAATTCTTTTCCATAAGTATTCAGTGTACTGGTCTTTAATATTCCTGAA